GGGTACCCAGAAAAAATCATCTGGTAGCAAACAGCTTTGGGGACACACTCAACTAAACTGAAAGCATTTGAGATACATTCAAGCTAAATTAGGCTATACTACAATTGGAAGTTGACTTCCAGATTCACAGAATTACTGCCAGCTAGCTACATAGAGTTTCCCTCTACTATTTCATTATTCTCTCATCATATGAGTGAATATTTTTTGGATTCTACCCAAAGAACTGCTAACTGCTTTAATAGAGATCCAATCAGAACATGCAAGTAATGCTAGTTAGTAGCCTTGGTGATCTAAAAGAAATGGTGAGATTTTCAGAATCTAATCCAGAGATAATACAGCCTATTGATTACTATATTTATAACGGTATACTGATAGCATGTCTTGCTATTTAATTGAAAAATTACAACCCTGGTTTCTAGTGTATCACATGTATGTCACCTAATTATAAATCTAGGTGACTGAAACTTTATTGCACATTAATCTAGGGTTTTATATTTTAAAGGTTTTAGCATATTTGCTTGTATTCTCTTATATACGGGCTTAACCTCCATCCCTCTCGAAGAGCCCAGCAAGCTTCTGAGAGTGTCCCACCAGCACCACAGAGCCTGTCAAGCTAACCGTGGCATATTTGATACGTAACGGGTTTAATTCCCCTGATCCCGAAAGAGCCTCCAACAAGGTAGAGTTGGGAAGGACGAGTAAGGAGAGTCTGCTAAAATCTCAGGGCTGGGATAAATGAAGATGTTACTGGCGCCCACTTGAGCAAATGGATGAACAAAAGGATGATAGTGATATTTTAAAAATACACTGGTTCAGGATATACAAAATACTGGTTAAACTCCACAAGAAGAAAACATCCAACCCCATCCAAAAATGGGGCAATGAAATGAACAGAAACTTTCTCAAAGAAGAAATCCGAATGGCAAAAAAGCACATGAGAAAATGCTCTACATCATTAATCATCAGGGAGATGCAGATCAAAACCACAATGAGATACCATCTCACACCTCAGAGACTGGCCCACATTCAAAAGAACAAAAGCAACTGATGCTGGCGTGGATGTGGCGAGAAAGGGACACTCCTTCACTGTTGGTGGGAATGTCCACTGGTTCAGCCCTTCTGGAAAACAGTATGGACGATTCTCAAAAAATTAGAAATTGAGCTCCCATTTGACCCAGCAATACCACTCCTGGGAATATATCCCAGAGAGGCAAAAATGTATAGTCGAAGTGACATCTGCACTTGTTTGTTCATTGCAGCACTCTTTACAATAGCCAGAAACTGGAAGAAACCTGAATGCCCAAGAACAGATGACTGGTTAAAGAAACTTTGGTACATCTACACAATGGAGTACTATGTAGCTCTTAGAAAAGATGAAGTCATGAAATTTACATACAAGTGGTACAATATGGAAAGTATCATGCTAAGCGAAATGAGTCAGAAAGAGAGGGATAGACATAGAAAGATTGCATTCATCTGGGGGATATAAATAACAAAGTATGAGATTAATACCCAAGAATAGCTGAGATCAGCACCAGGAGGATTACTCCATAACTTAGAGGCCAGCCGGGTATCCTAGAGGAAAGGGCAGTTCAGATAGAGAAGGGAGCACCAAATAAAGGATGTTTGGAGGATCCTCCCAGGAGGGGAGATGCATGTCGAAAGTAGACTATGGACTGAACATGTTTGCCACTCAATGCCTCTTTTGCAGACCACAACACCCAAAAGGAGAGAGAGAACACAGGGGATTGCCCTGCCACAGAGACAGGGGGGATGGGGGGGAGGGGGGGGAGGGATATTATCCATGGTGGTGGAAAATGGGCACTGGTGGAGGGATGGGTATCTGATCATTGTATAATTGAAACCAAAGCACAAAAAACTGTAAATCTACAACTTTAAAAAAAATAAAATAAAATAAAGGGGAAAAAAATACACTGGTTCAGGGGCTGAAGAGATAGCACAGTGGGTAAGGTGCTTGCCTTGCATGCAACTGAACCAGGTTCAATCCCTTGATCCCATATGACCAGCCCCCTGATTCCTATCAAAAGTCATCCTTGAGCACAAAACCAGAAGTAACCTCTCAGCATTGTCAGGAGTAGACCAAAAACTGAACAAAAAGAGATTCACTGATTTTGGTGTAGCACTGCTGTCTGCATTATAATTAGTTCTCCAGGTCAGTCTGTTGCAGAAAAGTAATCTTTCTGGAAAAACTACCTTAACTCCCAAGTGTTAGTTAAACTTTCTCAACCAGTGTATCTAATCCACTTTAGGCAAAGAAATATATATTGTATTGAGTAGGTTAAGAAATATATATTGTATTGAATGTTCTAACCCCAAATAGCAATAGGCACATATTCTAATTTCTTAGATAACTAAATATAGAAAACCTTCCAAGGAAAGACCCAGTTTGAATTATCCCATGTAGGAGAATATAGGATATTGCCTGAACACATGAATTTCACTTGAAGTCAGCCAAGTCAAGGTCTTATTTCCTATTTCCTTAACAAGTCTTTAAGCCCTCTAACCAAATAGAATATCTTTCTTCACCTTTCCATTTACATTAGCATACTGTGGTGTGTGGGCTGGAGCGATAGCTTAGCGGGTAGGGCATTTGCCTTGCATGCAGCCAACCTGAGTTCTATTTCTCCACCCTTCTCGGAGAGCTCAGCAAGCTACAGAGAGTATTCCACCCACACGGCAAAGCCTGGCAAGCTACCGGTGACGTATTCGATATGCCAAAAACATTAATAACAAGTCTCACAATGGAGACGTTACTGGTGCCCACTCGAGAAAATTGATGAACAACAGGAGCACAGTGCTACAGTGCTACTGTGGTGTGTGTGGGTGTGTGTGTGAGTTGGGGGAGGGGGAGAAAAAGAGTGGGCTGCAGGGTGAAAGAGATAGAGTTATAGTGTCTCCCTGGGGAAGGGTAGCGAACATTTTTCATCCAATAAATATGAAGTACTGCATTCACCTTTTTAATTTATTGCAAATAAATTCGCAGCATCATAGGCTCTCCCCTATGTGACTCTAGGACTTGAAATACTAAGCTAAATCCTAAAGACAGTTTGTGAATCCTTGCTGCTCTTGATGGTCCTTTGATGTTACTGTTATATACCTGCTGATTTATTAACTGAATGACTTAAATTTTTGGATGAAACTCTAGCAATTTAAATTATGTGGTACATGACATTGTAAATAACTATCAATATGCAACACTGCTTTTAACCCGGAAACCATCAAGGACTTCAAAATAAAACACCGCTGAGAATTTCAGGGAATTTCGTGTGTAGATTTTGCTTTAAAGGCTATTAATATAAATTAAGAAAAATAATCCACAAATGACTTTTCACCCTTTGTCCAAGCCTTCATACATTTTCTTTTTAAAAGCATTTAACTCTTTGCTTATTTGTGTTCTTTTTTCTTCTACCCTTAGTATTTTAATCAGAGGCAGCTGTTTGTGTATCTTTAAGTATGTTTTTAAACCCCACAACTGAGTATTTAACTCTTAACTAATTTTTATACATAATTTTATCAAGACCAATTTAGTTGTCAGAATTTCCTGTGGATGAACAGTATTAAACTGCATTTTAGAAGCCTAATATCCAGACACTGTCACCACTGGATAGTGACTTTCTAATTAATCACATATACACACTAGGGGTTGGAAATTAATCTAAATTGTGCATCTTATAAATATTTCAATATTTGTGCCTATTTATAAACTTAATATTTTTCAAGGCATCTCCGTCTAGTTGCTACTTTAATTTGAAATTGAATTCAGTTACCCATAATGCAGATGTTACATATTATGAAAATACATGGATGCTTAAGTAAATATGTATTCCAAGTATGAAACATCTTAATGACTGATAAAGAAAATATGATACTTTAAAATATTTTAAAGTTATTTCCTAGATATCTTTTGTCTCCAAACATTAGACGAAGTTGCATTGTTTACAAAAATTTATTCATACAAATTTTACATACTTTATATAACAGTTATCAAAGTCCTAGTTATAGATATCATGTGTGTAATAATACTTGGTTAAGATGTTTTTATAATCAGTTGCACACAAAATAAGTTTCAACACTAACATCTACCTAAATTATCACGACTATCATAAATCTGCTCTGTGTAGTAAGGCTCTTGGCATTTCTAAAAAGTATACAAAAGATTAAACTGGGTGATCACTGTAAATGCTTGCAACTAGCCACAGGAACACTAAATTAGACTTCATAAATAAAAGGTTAACAAGAGCCCTATTTCACCACTAATAGCTGACACAAATACAGAAAACTGCCCATTATCCAAGAAACAAATAATTAAGACTAAAATGCAAGCTGATGTGTTGCAGCATTGTAGGGCCACTGAATAGCCATCTGTGATTCGTGGCGATTTAAAAGGCGAAGAAAGGCACTAAAGCTGCAAACTGCGTCCCATTTCACACTGCCTGAGGAGACTGCAGAATTAGAGAAAGATTGATCCTGTACCCAGGACACAGGCGTAGATCGAATGCCTCTGTGCTTTCACTGTCTGCAATGTGATCTCCTGGCAGCATCCATTCCATCCGGGAATGCAAATCCAATTCTGTTTTCTTTGATTTATGATTTCATACTGATCACATCCGTAAAAGGAAAGGTCCTTTAAACTTTACAAGCTAATGTGTCATCTTTTCTACTCTTTTTTTTTTAACCCAAAAAAACTTGTGCCTGAAATTTGGGGATTAGACTGGTTTGCCTATTGTTGCAGAGTGAAGGTTCTTTTGTTTGTAGAGATTATTCTAGATGTTCAAAGAATTGATAGGAAACAGACATGCTTTCTGTAGCCAAGAAAGGGTACAAAGGGGAGGTTGTCAGGTCTGTTGGAGTTCGCTTACCTCACTATAGACCTCAAATTTAAGATAGTACTCATACATTTGAAGATGAGGTTTAAATTGATTTATCAGTTAGAAATACTGAGCAATACGTGAACACTACACATTCTAATATGACAAAGGTTGGTTTTATGAAACAAGTTTTACTAAGCAATAAGCCATAATGTAGAAAAATACATTTTACCTACAAACTCAATAAACAAGAAACAAAGGCTCATATTTAGTGCATACTTAGTGGTAACTACACAGGTGTTCCTAAACTTTACAGTAAGTGCTTACATTAAACAACAGAAAAAGTAGCATTCACACGGTTAAGAGAAGTTGGAAAAACTGGTACTCAAACAGTGCTAGAAGGGGGAAAATAGGGGTCTTCAGAATATCACAAAGGAAAGGGATAGCTCCTACAGAGCAAGGTTCAAAGGGGAGAATCCTGGCCATTTCACAAGATGAGAAGCATGGACAGCACTGGAGAAAAACACATCGTACTTTGCATCCATTTCCAAACCCAGCGCCCACAGCAGAGGACCCTCAGAGGTACACACTGCTCCCAGCATCCCAGGCCTGGGGCAGTTCCAATCCCTTCCCTCTTCAGGGTCCTCCTCCTACTGCCTGATGCTCTGCCTCTTCCTACTTACCTACAGTGTCCTTCACTATGTTCAAATTGCCCTAAACTTTGGATATTGGATTCCCTGGATGTACAGAAAAGGGAGCTTCCTTCGGGAGGCTCCCTTCTCTGTACAACCCTCCACCTCTGCCCCCAGGGAATAGTCTGTGGATTCCAGGGTGAAGCACAATTTGGATCGAGCTGTATTGTATCAGGAGAATTGCCTTCTGGGCTGAGAGTCGAAAGAAAGACAAATACACATAAAAGTAAAATCAAAGAAAGCAGGAGTATTGGAATTGCCACCCAGCAAGGGGAGCCGTGGCCAGTTCAGTTGGCTGGAATTGAAGGAGCCTGCTCCAGGAACAAACGGGAAGAACAAGAATGCCCTTCAGCCAATCTCCCAAGCCCTGACCTCCAATTCTCCCTGGAGCAGGCCAGCATTGTTTATGTACAGTAGCAAATGGTCAATATTAATATCTTCAGGCCTGCCGTGGATAAAAATACTGTCCTTTTAATTCCAGTTTACAAAAATAGGAGTAATATTTAAAACAATGATTGTCTATTTTTCTTTTTTGTATAAAAACATAAACAGCTCAGGCGAATTTTCAATCCTTGTGCACACTTTTGTATGAATTGCTCTCTATTATACTTATATATATTCTGAATATATATAATATATATCAATAATTGGTTCCACAAAGTATATCTGTGCATTCTCTAGTGCTTTGTAAAAAGAAAAACAATATTATTATCAAAATATTCATTTAATGGCTTTACTTCATACATAAATACATGTTTGGATAGAACACATGAGCGATGACTTCAGTCAACTGGGAAAAGGACTTTTCAGAGTGTGCCAGGGCTTGTATACACAGAGTAGCTGAGAACTCGTCGCTACAAAAAGGCTATTCGGCGTCCTTTGTTTTTAACCCTCTGTTTATACCTTTTCCCTAGGACGGCCGCCAAGTATTTCTTGACAGCCATTTGTTTCCGGTAGCGGCTGTAGCTGTCCGTGAAGATTCCATCCGAGTGGCGCTTGGACAGCGGCTCCCAGTCCTCGGCGCCGCCGCCCAGGCTTCCCCTGCAAGGAAGAGGAAGGGGCGGGAGGCGCCGGGTCAGCAGCTGCGGGGAGCCGGCGGGCCCCACCCCGGGGACACTGTCTGGGAGGTCACTGGGACTTTCCGGCCCCCGCGTGGAAGGCGCGGGCGCTGCACGGAAACTCGCTCCTCCCGCCCCACCGGGTTCCTGGCACTGGGGCCTCGCAGGCGGGGCCTGGGGTGCGAGGGCTGAGGCTCCTGGCCACAGGCGCGCGACTGAAACCAAATCTTCTCAGTAAAGGACCCCCCCACCAACAAATACCATCAGCCGTGCGTTTGCGAAGAATTGTCCCAACCTTCCCATTTACCTCACCAGCATCACCCCCACTGTCTTCCCCCTGCCCTGGAGGATATAGGAAACCGCAGACGGTTCTAAGGTTCCCTCTTGGGGGTTGGTTTCCACCTCGCACACCTAAGACGCCCCCAGTTCTCCTCTCCCCCGTACGCTAAGGTGGGAAACGTGATAAATTGATAGGCTGTAGGCAATATTTTTCATCGCATGAATTATTCATCGCCAAAATGTAATCTGTTTTCCCACCGGCTTTATTAAAATATTGCCTTCTGCTCCCACGCGCTCTGCTCAAGCCCTGTGCTGGGGGTTTTCCGGCGAAAAGAAACACTGTTGTCTAAACTGCCAGGTTGGAGGATTTGTTTGTTTCATTTGAATTTACAATGCAAGAAACTTTTCCGAAGTCGCATTTAGGGAAAATTGTTAACAAATCGTCCCGCCGCGAAGCTAAAGGTGTTTTACGAGCGGCGGGTTGGTTCCTCCTTATTCAAGCCGAATCCGACTGGACGGTTTTGCTGACCCCCCACCCCGCAGCCCCCTTGCCTCTCCCTCCTCGGGGCCCCGCGCCCAGCCTGAGCGGCGCAGACGCGCGGGCTCCGGTGCACGCGCGCACGCAGAGGCCACGCCCGCCCGCACGCGCACAGCGGAACGGCCGGCGCGCGCCAATGCTTGTCTTTAACTCTTTCGAACGCTTACCCCGCGCCCTGGGCCGTGACCGTCTGCAGGTATTTCCTGGTAGACAACTGATCCAGCACCTTACGGTAGGCCTTGTGAAGTATCTCATGGGCGAGATCTCTGATGGAGAAGCAGAGTGTGCACCCAGAGTCACTGACTGTCCCCAAGAGACAGTCCTGCCCCCCCACCCCCTTATGCCCCAACTCCCCGCAAGCGCGCCCCTCGAATCTGTGCGGCTGATGAAGAAAGCCTAAGAGGCGCGGATGCGCCAAGAACTATCTTTGGGAGGCTTAGGGGACGAGGAACAAGCAGTGTGGCACCTGGACATCCCGCCAACACAGTGCGCACTCACGGCCGTTCCGGGGACAAGACCTTCCGATCCCCAGGCGGCCCTCTCAGTCCACTCATTCTCCGTTACTTTCATGGGAACCCGCCAGGAAAAACAGACTGGTAGGCTTTTCTGGAAAAGTTCCTATCGGCCTCCAGCGTGCTCCTCCCGCACCCCGCGTCCCGGGGCCGGTAGGGGAGGTACGGGGGCGAGGGTACCTCTTCTCCTGCGGGTAGTACAGCGCGTAGACGTCGCGCGGCACGGAGGCGGGGCTCCCCGCGTCCGGAGGGTCCGAGTCGTAGAAATCAGGCAGTGGGTTTCCGTCCTCGTCGTACGCTTCGTCCTCAGGCCTGCCAGGGTAGCCGGGCGGGGAGAAGGAGGGAGGGGGAGAGAGAGATCAGTACAATTCCTCCCCGGCTCTTCAGAGACGGTACGAACAGCACTGATTTCCCCGCCCTCCCCCACCCCTGACGTGTCCGGGGGCTCTGGACCGGGATGGCGATACAAAGGAGGAGGAAAGTACATCTCGCCAGTTCCCAGCCCCAAATCCACTGCAGGACCGCGGCCTCTGAGCGCCCTGGGAAGCCAGGCGTACCCGGCCTCGCGCCCCAGCCGTCTCGACCCCCTCCTTGCCCCTTATCCTCCCAGGTCCCCACCACTCCGAGCGGCAAGTGCAGATTAGGGCGCTCGGGGCGGACGCGTTGAGAGAAGACCCGAGTGGGGAGCCCCGTGGCGGAGCGGGGCGGGTAGATGCTCGGGCGCCGGCGGGCCACCCTGCCACCCCGGCAGCCACCTTCGCCCCAGCCTCGGAGCCCAGGGGAACTCTTCACCGCGCAGATGTAGGTCACGGAGAACCTCCGCCTTCTATTTTTGGGCCTGAGAGGATCTGGCAGGAACATGAATAATAGATGCCCCTAAACTTAGCTAGTTTGGTGGCAGCTGGCTCTACGGCAGGTCCGCACCCTCCCTCCCGGGGTCCCCGGGACTTTGGAACTGAAACTGGAGGTGATTTGGACCGCTCACCACTGAACCGCCTGTGATGCGGGGTCCTGGATCGCCTTCTCAGTTCGGGGTGAGGCTCGGGGTGGGGGAATCACTGAAAGCTAGCAAGTGCCCAGCAGCCTCGCAGTTGGCCAGACCTAATGCCTCTATCTCGCTATAGGTCAGGAACTGTGTGTGCAAACAAAGGCCTTCGCCATGGGTAGCTGTAGACACCCGGGAAACGCCAGAGCAAGTAGAGCTCTGCGAAGTGTTGGGGTGAGTCCTACTTGGTTACTTCGCTCCCCTTCCTTCCATTCCCCAAAAGGTCGGGCCAGGCAGACACCTGTGCCCTTCTGCCCTGCCGGCTGCCCGCCGTCCCAGGTGTCGCTCCAGACCACCTTCTAATCACAGTTCATCCCCGCCCCTGGTCCAGACGCGGGAGTCCCGCGCCTGAAGCCCCACCTTCATCTCTCTCACAAATCAATGGTCAGTGGCCCCTGAGTCGAATGTTCGAGGGCCCGGCCTGGAGCAGCAGCTTTGCTGGTAGAAAGCTCGCAGCTAACTGCCTCCAGTCTATGGGAGCACCTGGAGGGTTAGTCCCTCTTGGGCAGTGAATGTCCACTCTTGCCGCTGACCGGCCGGGACACTGGGGCTGTGGTGCCCGATCTAGGCAAAGCTGACCCGTTAGAAAGCAATGAGGGCTTAAAAACAAAATAAAGCCACGGTTGCTGGCAACAGCAAGACTGCCCCAATCCTGCCTGCCTGCCTGCCTTGTGCTCTCGCTTTCTTCTTTCTGTTCCGACCGTGTTCTCAGCCTGTCTCCCCCTCCCCTACAGACTCATTCTTGATTTTCCTTCTCTGGTGTCGCTCTTCCTTGGCCACGGAGAGCCAACACTCCATCTCCCCGAAACTGTCTGAGACAAAATGCAGTAGGACCACGTATACTTGAGCTCTTTCGGGCAAAGAAAAACCACAAGACCCTCATCGGGGCGAGAAGAGACCCCGCCCCAATGGCCCAGAACAAGCTGTAACAAAGCGAAGTCCAAGCGAGCTTCAAGCTCAACCCCCTAGTGCTGATTCCGGGAGCCTAAATTATCTCAACTCCAGCAAAGAACCGAGAAAAGTCAGGCTTGGGGGCCCGGCCCTGCCCCTGCCCGCGGGCGGGGCTGCTGCGGAAGCAAAGGTTTCTCTGGCGGGCTGAGGCTTGCCCCGCGCGGGCCCCCGGGCTGCCCCGGGCTAGAGGCGGGGCGCGGAGCCGCCTGCTGGCCTTTGCTGGCCTTTGCTGGCCCTTTTGGCCGAGCCTGGGCCAGGGGCCCGCCACCTAGCTGAGCTGTGGCGTTTGGGGAGACGCGCGCCGCTGGCACCGGCACCGCGGAACTGCAGGAGGAGGCGTCGGGGGGGAAGGGAAGCCCCAGCCAGAGCTCAGCTCTGGCGTTTAGTACCTACCTGATCCCAGGGAACCGGAGTCCGGCAGCGGCAGGTGAGCAGTAAACGCTGCTGTGCATTATTATCCCGTAGACCAGCAGGGCCAGCCTCGCGCCGCTACACATGGCCATTCTGCACAGCACGGGGAAAGAGCGGTGAGAACGCGCCGAGCCCTCCACCCTCCAAGCCTATAAGAAACTCCAGGGACTGGGGGAGGGATGTTGTGAAGCACGGACTGCCGGGGTTGAATGCCCCTAATGACTGTCCGCGCGTGCTCCAACACTTCCCTCTCACTCTAGTTGGCTATATATGTGCGTCTGCATGCGTGCCGCCGTGCCCCCCGAAACTAGCTAGACCTTGTGAGAAGGGAAGCTAACAAGTCCCCTGATAGATAACTGCGAAGAAAGCAGCCAAGCAGGTCGTTGGGGAGGGAAGCTACGTTTTCCCTCACTCTTACCGCGGGCAGGAGAGGATTTGTTGCCAAGTAGGACAGCAGGCAAAGGGCTCCTTCAAGTTTCCGCGCTGGAGTCACAGCCCGAGAAGCATCACCTTCTGGCGTTCGTGTCGGAGGGGAAGCCGCAGGGATGCGCCGAAGCAGCAGGAGAAGCTGGAGGACTTGTTTGCTGTGACCAGTGTTGGGTTTAAAAGTTTGTTGGACACGCAGAACTAGAAGGAAGCTTGACACCGGGACGGGAGTGAAAACAAGGGATGTAAAAGAGAGGAAAGGGAAAAGGAAGAGCCAAGGAGTGGGAGGATGCGGGCAAAGTTAAGTCCGCCAGGAGAAAGAAACAAGAGATGAAGGGAAAGTAGGAAGGTGGGAGAAGGAAAGGAAGCGGGGAGCCTTCCTGCGGCCAGAATCTGTGAAAAACGGCTGGTCGCAGCGCGAATCGGCGGCTCCTTCTCCCCTCTGCTGTTCCTCTGACTGCGTCTGAAGCTGCGGCTTCTTCTGCTGGTTGCAGAGGTGACTGGCCCTCTGCTCCTATTTATATTTGCAGTTAGCAAAAATCTATCTGAATACGGCTTGATAAGAGCCTTCTTTGTCAACATCTGTCTGCCTATGGCCTTTAAGTACAGAATATTTTGTTGTACGGTTGCGCTCCGATTTTTATTCATGAAATGACTTCCTTTTTTTTTTTCAGTCACGTAATGATCGGGTATCAGAAACAGACGTCAGCATCCTAGTCCCTCAAGGAACATATTAACTATTCTGTGCTGTCCTCTTGGATGATAAGATCCGGAGTCATCGACTTCTCATAAACACCTTTCACTCATACAATCTAATTTTTAAGAAGTCTAATTATTTTGGTGGTTTACTATTTCACCAACTTCTCATGGATGGCTAAAGAGAAAATTTATAGAATTTTTGAGCATCATAAAATTCATATTTTTAATTATCTTTATACTATTTTGATATATTTCTCATCAAGCCCCAGCAATGAGAGTTCTGGTCTCTGGAATTAAGCCCCATCAAGCTCTCCTATTAATAAATTTAATTTAGATCTCCTAATTTCTTGCATATGTTCTTTCAGATAGACAATTAAATGTGGAAGTCGTTTTGTTTTTAAAGGGAAGTCTTGGAGGATTTTCAGTAAATCACTAATGAGTCTGGCTTTCATTCGTTGACTAGGAGTCTGGCTACGAATAGAGTAAAAAAGCTGCCACAGGACCAGGGCCTATGGAGCTGTCCAGACTATGAGTGCTGAAATGTTGATCGCGTATTACAAATGTTGAAAAAATGGCACTAATTTAATTTCACTGGCTTTTCTAAATCTGAAGATTTTGCAATGATGCAATTAATGTGGTATTCCATTGTCCAAATCACCCCACTGTTCACATACTTTCACTCCCCTAACATCCCCCAAGTGTCCTTAAGACAAACCCCCCCCCGCCCCCCAGATTTCTGTGAAAAGCATTTTGCCCATAGTTCTGTTTTACTTTGGGGGATGGGTTGTGTTTTTCCTCTCTAGATGGTCTTTTTTAAAAACATTCTTACATTTTTATCATTCTCTCTGCTTTTAAAAATTAAAATTGTGTTTTCCACCAAAGAATGATATTTTAAGAATCTGGGATGAGAAATGTATTTGTTCCACTTTATTTACAGCTTGAGTTTATTTGGGGAAATACAGACCAACTGGGAAAGCACTAGGATTCCCAATACAAGTTTATTTATTAAGGGCTTCTAACGGGAATCCCTCCATTGGGAACATTTAAATTTTTTTTAGCTGAAAATGACGTGGAAAGCAAGACGGAAATACCACATCCACCCTGTGGGTTCCAAGTCCCTGGGTAATTTTTAAAAGATCCATAATTTCTACTGCAATAAAAGAACAAGGATCTATTTCTTTTAAAAGAAAACCAGAGCTGCCAATAACCATTAGTGTTAATTTTAGTTATTTGGATCTTAAAAATCAAAAGAAATGACAATTTAGTGAGAGTGTTTCCTGTTGCTATGATTTGGATCTAATATTAAAATAAGCTGTGTCCAGCATTCTTTTTCTAAGACACAGTTACAGTGTTTTTCATTCTCTCTCTGTTCAATTTTTTATTCTTTTTTTGAGATTCAAACATTCCTCCAGGAACATAAAGTTTCGCTTATTACCAGTCACGAATGGCTAAGCATTGCCCTGCTCTCCCTTATTTAATTCCTAGGACTGCTCCAGATTGCCTGCCTGCAATAAAGCTTCAGACCGCATCTACATGGAGATGTGCCTCTTTGTCTCCACTGCGTGTGTTCCCTGATTTATGTTGGAGTGTTTGCGTGTGTGAGCTCCTGTTCAGCTCTTCCTCTCGAAGCTCATACACAAGGAGCCTGTGGTGAACACGACCGGATAATTAAGCAAAGCCGTTTTCTTACTGAAGCCCCAAAGCTATTACCGCCTGTGGCTTTCCTGCCTTGCTTCACGTCAAAGGTGAACCCGATTAAAATCCTTACTTTTTCCACCCACGCGAATTCTGAAATGAGTTCAATCTGCAGAGAGATTTGAACATTTCTAAGATTGCTTGTGCTCGCTTCTTAACTTTAGCAGAGGGAGCCACCATGTGGGGAGTTGCTGACTTCACGGCGAATTAAAGGGGGAAACCACCAATACCACTAACTGTGACGACCCTGTTTCCAGTACCCACAGGATCCGACCCTCTGACTAACCAAGGCTGTGCCACTTCCACTCTCTCAGGCGCCATCAGCGCGAATCCAACACAACGCTCCAAAATTACCCCTCTGGCGGGTTGAACCATTCACGAATGTGAAAGACTGAATAGAATTTTTGTTTTGAGACTTTTGGTTACAGAGTTCCCCAAAATCACTCTTCTGAGATCCAGCCATCGCTCCCCACGTACAATCTAAAGATACCAGCTCCCGCCCTCGACCCCTCACCCCCCCATCCCCCAATTCCACCACCACTCCAGCCCTGGGCCACCACTGCTTGGAGGAATCCAACCCAGTCAGATCATCCTAAAATCTTTCCATCTCTAACTGAGGGAGTTTGGGAGTGGGCGGGCAAGGAAGCTTTCCTACTCTCCAGAGTTTTGTTTCTCCGCACCTTGGGCTGGGGACAGCTAGGATCCAAGAGCTGCAACAGTCTGGCGCGGCACCCCCGCCCCTCCAAATCCTTGCGTGTAAGCACAGGCCCTCTCCTACTGTTAGGTGGAGGGGCGTATGGAACTACCGAAATCGCAAAGACTCTACTCCCCAAGTGCCTCCCACAGGTGGGAATTTGTTTCTTTGCTTCTAATCTAGGGCAAACCCTTCCTCCCCTCAAACACACACACACACACACACACACACACACACACACACACATTGCTTTCCCGAGACCATGGAAGGAGGGTCCTATCAAGGACTAAATTGCAGCTGCAGAAAATTGAGCCTCCAGCAGAAACTGGCCGGGGAGGCGGGCGGGGCGGGGGGATGGGGGAGTATAGAGGCTGAAGCAGAATAGAGGCTGAAGCAGTGGAGGGACAGGTGCTGTTTGGCAAGGACTGTTCCTTATAAATACAGACGCTGCTGGAAGGGTCTTGATAGTCAGATGGAAAGATCTGGCAATCCCGGCTAGTAGGAGGAGCAAAGGAGATGGGAGGGAGAGGGGTAAGTGCCTTCCAATTTTATCTCCTTACCGCTTCTGCCCCAGCGGGATGTTTACAACCTCTTAGGGTGACAGAGATTAAGACCGAAAGAAAATTTCCTACTTTCCATATATAATAGAGAATAACACGGGAGTGGAGAAGGGAACAAATGTCAGATGTTCCCAGTTGCCCCCTCCTATCTCCACAATATTCAGCAGAGGGAACAGAATTCCCAGGCCACTAAGCTCTGGCCAGGCTGTGTCTTGTAACTGGATTCATGCTAAGTTAGAAAAAGCAAAATGGAGGACTAGAAAACAGGATAGGACGGCAGGTAAGGCACTTGCCTTGCACTCAGAGGAGCCACTTTGATTCCCGCCACCACATGGCTCTCTGAGCTCACCTGCCACGGGTGAGCCCTGAGCACAGAGTTGAGAGTTATCCCTGAGCACTGCTGTGTGTGGCCCGAGAGCCGGCAAAAAAAGAAGGGAAAGATAAAAGGAAACGCCAACAGAACCATGAAAATCTTCAGAGTGAAAGGTCTTACTGTGTTCTTTAAGACAGAGAAGAAAGGTCAGGTCTGGGAACTAAGCCTTGACCTACCAGAAAGAGGCAGCTTAGAAATATTTGTTAGAACCTCCATAGGACCATGAACGCCAGCTCCCTTTCACCTCATTTGTCCTTAGATTTTGAAGATGTAACTTTTTATCCAAAATGGTGAATTCCAGCTAAAAGTCAAACTAACACCTGATTTTTTTTCTGCTCAGGGCCATATCTGTTTTTTTATTATTATTTATTTTTATCTTATTTTTTATTTTTATTAGTGAGACATCCTGAGGTACAGTTGCAGACTTACAAATTTTGTGCTTGGATTTCAATTATACAATGATCAAATACCCATTTCTCCACCAGTGCCCATTTCCCACCACCACAGATCCCAGTATCCCTCCCACCGCCCATCCCCCCATCCCACCCTGTCTCTGTGGCAGGGCATTCCCTTTTGTTCTCTCTCTTATTGGTTGTTGTGGTTTGCAAAAGAGGCAATGGGTGACAATCATGTTTGGTCTGTAATCTACTTTCAGGGCCACATCTGTTTTCATTGATGTTTTACATCCTTAACCCTCCTCAAACACTCCATTTAAAGAACAATCTGGTTCTTCAGTGAGAAAATGGATTTTCCTATTCAAACAGAAAGATATTTAGAAGTGCTTGACTTGCAGATGGTTTCACATTAGCAAATACTTGGCATACCTAAAACTCAGGTCTCTAAGCTAAGATTTCAGATCCTTTCCTTCTGTCTTCTACCCTTATTATACATAGTTCCCACGTAGTCCAGTGTGCCTGTATGCCCCAAACACTCAAATACACTCAAACTCTCTTTTCTCTCTCTGTCTCTCTCCCTCTCTCTCTGTGTGTGTCTCTCTCTCACACACACACTCACACATACCTCTTTGGCTCTGTAGCACTACCCTTTGCCGCTTATCACTACACTTCCTATCTCCAACCTCCATCAAATTTTTTCAACCTTAAGAAAGAACTTGGTTGCATATGGAACCTTTCTATATTCCTAGTAAAAAATAGTATTAAGTCAGACTAGAAAGACCTTTCCTGCTCTATTTATTTCTAGTTAGGACTTAGTATAAGAACCAGCATAATAGTAAGCTTTTTCAGTGAACAAACTTGATGCAAAAAACCATGCTCAGATGTGAGTGACAAAAGTAAATCTTAACACTGCATTCAGTTTCACTGTAAACTTTTCCTCTCCTGACTCTTCCAGAAATGTGATGACTAATGGCTTACTCCATACCAATTACACCTGTAGGGAAACCCAAATGTTCTGCAGCTGAACATCATGATCATCACTTACTGGACTGTGCATCATGCCCTCCTGAACTCATGATGAAGTAAGGAGCTGATGAGCTTACTCTGTGATGTATCATGACTTCTCTGACCTTCGGAATTTAGTTTCACACACTGAAAGCAGAGAGCAAAGGAAGCCTTTCCAAACCACATGAGCAAAATCATCTCTCTAATTTAA